TCATGCCCACATTCAAGTTAGTTTCTGACTAAGGCAGTTGGCTTTTTCCCAGGAATTCTTATTTCAAGCATGAAATTTTTAATAAGGTTATCTTAATGTAAGTCAGAAATCCAATATAAATTCATGAAGAACCTTCTTTTAAATTTGTTCATTTAACTTCTGAATTCAAGTGAATAACATTTGTAAATGAATGGTTTCTTCCTTGGTTAAATGGTTAAATCTTACTCATTTATGATAATGAAGGCAATCAAGAATAATACACTGTTTTGGCCAGTGCTGCAACTTGTTTCCCACTCACAGAACAGGAAAAGAAAAAATTAGTTTTATTCAAAGATAGTTATTAACTCAAAGCTGAATTATCTAAGATATACTGTGATTCATTTTAACTCCAGATTAGTATATAAGTATACATTTTAGATGAGAGAATTTATAAAGCTAACTGAACAACACATTAGAGAGGTGACACATTGCCTTATCTTTAGGTCCTAGTTATGTCAACTTTAATTGATTTAAGCTCTTCTCATCTTATTAATCCACAGACTGTCTCATTCAGCAACAGCTAGACATTTCAGTATTCAAGAATATCTGTGAAGCATGCAATAGTAGTCATGCCTTGACGTTACAAAGACATGAAATAAAATATCCAATCTGGAACCTCAAAAGTGTTGGGACCACAATCCTCAATCAGCTGTAATCCTCAAATACACAAAATCATGTTCACCTCTCCAATTAATCTCTAAGGATCACAGTATTACCAAGAAACTCAGCTGCTCTGTGAAAGAAAAAATGCTGTTTTTTCTCCTATTCTTAATGAACGTCCAATCCCTATTTCAAGAACTATTCCTTAATTTATACAAGACAGACAGTAAAAGAAAATAATTATTTTAATATTATTATTCCTCCCTTTCCCTGTTATGATCAGTAGGCAGAGAAGAGGTGCCAGGAACAGAAGAGCAGGCTGCTGAGCAATCTGTGATAAGAGGCTTCCAAAGCTAAAGCCTGGGATTTATTTCCTTTCTTGCCTCCAGGGATCTCAAAGCAGCATTCATGATTCCCCATATTACAGTCACAACATTCTTTTGAACCAATATTAGGCAGGATACGGGTTGCCTAAGATCATGGGGTGAGTTTCATGTTGCTGGATGGGGATTTGAAAATGGGTCGCTCTAGGCTTAGAGTAACCCTTAACCATAACATCACACTGTCTTTCTGAGCTTGTCCTTCCCCACTGACGCCCTAAGAAGCTAGCAGAAAGATCTCATCTGATAGGGCCTTGATGCCCAATCATTATATTCAATATTTTGTTTGGAACCATAAGAAATAGAAGTTCATACTGCCAGAACAGATGTTCATGAGCTACAAGATGAATTTGTCAGTGCCCAGTAGGACTCAGGTGGAACATGTCACTTTTGAGAAATGCCATGATATGTTCCTTAATATATAATTTGAAACTCTGCCAAATTATCTAATACTGCTCATGGCTGCCTCAGAAGTGAATATATTCCATGCATCAACATGATTTACAAATAACACAAGCATAATTGTTCTCTTCTCAGACATTAAATGTCAGGTCAATGCAAGAAGTTGACAAACTGGACATGAAGGCAACTCCCCACTTTGCTATTCTCCTTCCAAGGAATGGTATTTAGTGCATTATCATCTAGAATTACCAGTAGAAACACACACTTTGTAAACATGTCTGGCCCTTTTTAAAGCATCCAAACTAGTATTTATGGTTATATTTTGGATGGCAAAGTCTAAGCTGTGTGAATGTCTGTGCACACTAATGTACAGCAAAGTTGAACTGGAGATGAAATGGCATTAAAAGACTATATATTGTGCCATTATTTTGAGATATATGGAAGTCATGTCAATCATATATAATTTGAGATTGATATTACAAATGTATAACATGAATGACCTCCCATCATTACTAATAGAAAGTATCTTGAGCAGATCAGAATAATCTTTAGCCTTTCAGGATATTAAAATATATTAAAAATTCAATAAAAACAATCCATTTATGTAACTGATGATGTTTATGTTTGTCAATATTAATGGAATATGAATATTTCAAGCAGGTTGCCTTTGCATTTTTAATAGCTGTCACATTGTAATAGATAAATGTATGTGCCATTCTCTAAAAAAATACTTTATTTAACTATGCAAGTTATGCTGGATGTCCTCCTTCAGTTTCATTTCTATGGAGCAATTGGACACACTGCCAAAAATTGCCACTTCAATGTTTCTCCTAACACTGATCAAGACTGCACCCTAAATTAGGAAAGGTATACAATAGCTTTAAGATTACCTTCAAATTTTTAATGCATTAATCTATTCACAATGTATCTATGACCCTTCCCTGTCTTCTTTCTTTTCAAGTGGAGCTATTTACAAGCATCATTCAAGTTGAGTTCCTTTTTATTGTATTGTAATTCCTAATGCATGAACTATCACATCATTGTGCTGTGTATAGAAAATATATGTGAAGCTTCCGGTTGAGAGCCATGGCGAGCTAAACGTCCCTTTTTGCAGCGGGATGGCGTTATGAGAGAGTTAGGCAGGGGATGCAGGATCCTGGCAGCTGAAATGCTCTCCAGATTAAGGAGAGATCTTTGAGATAGCCTATGTGACTCTGCACAGCTGCTCCACATGAGTAAACTGCAGGAACAGTCATTTTGTGGTTTGCTTATGGGTTGAGCTGCTGGGAGTCGAGGAACCATCGTTGCTCACAATTGTTAACACAGCCTTTTTAAAAGACATTAAGCTCGGCCAAGCCTCACTTCTTAATCACTTTGGGGTTTTTTTTGTTTTTTGTTTTTGCTGCTTTAAAAGGATTAAGACCCTTCAGAATAGCAAGTTA